AAGGAATGGTGGAGCAAGGGGGAGGGACAAGGAAAGGGGGAGGGACAAGGAAAGGGGGAAGGAGGCAGGGAGGGAGGGAATGGTGGAGGGGAGAGGGAGTGTGGCTGGGACCTCGGCCATCGTCGTCCCGCGTTGGCATCCCATCGTTGTGTCGCATTTCGTTGTCGCCTCCTGCTGTCGCGTCGTCGTGTGTCCGCGTTGTTGCGTTATTCGTGACGTTGTCGTCGCCGTCGTCGTGGGCGCTGGTTGCCGTTGGGGGCGTCGTCGTGGGTGGCGTTGGTGTGGACGTGGTGGTTTTGGTAGGCGGCGTGGTGCCGTCGTATGTCGTGTGAGCGGTGCGTGTTTGTCGTTGGGCGGCGCGTGTTTTTCAGTGGGCGGCGCGTGTTTTTCGGTGGGCGGCGCGTGTTTTTCGGTGGGTGCTCGTGTTTTTCGGTGGGTGGTGGGATGTTTTCGTGGGCGGGGTATGGTTTTCGTGGGCGCTGGCGGTGTACATGGGCGGTGGGCGTCGTTTTGTGCCCGTCGGGTGTCGTTTTGTGTCCGGGGGCGTTGTTTTCGTGGGCGTTGGGTGTTTTCGTGGGTTACGGCGCTCGTTGTTTCGTGACGTGGCGTCACCGCGTTGTTGTTGAAGGGTGTTGTGGTTGATGTTGGTGGTCGTGGTGGCCATGGGTGATCGAGGAGCGATGTTGGCGGTGGTGGCTATGGGTGACGGTGATGGCGTGGCGTTGGCGGCGGTGACGAGCATGGTGGTGGTGGTGGAAGAAGAGAGTGGCCATGTTTGGTGAGCATGTTCACCAAACAAACATTGTTTGTGATCCATTGAAAATAAATAAACTATAATACAGTAATAAATAAATAAAATAAACAGATTGGACTGGAATCCCATTCCTGCCCACTCCGGGGAACACCATTCCTGCCCATTCCGGGGAACATTCCAGTGTACATTCCGGAATCCACCGGAATTCCACCGGAATGGAAAACACCGGAATAAACAATTTAGCAGGGCCTTCTGCTAAATTCCATTCCACCGGAATCCACCGGAATTCCACCGGAATGACTGAATTCCTGCAGGAATAGGGGGGGCACTGCTAAGACCTCCATTCTCGCCTGACGGCAGGCGCGTAGTCTCGGGCTTGGCCAACAAGACAAGTCGGATATGGGATGTGGAGACAGGGAAGCCAGTGGGAGAGCCATTCCAAGGACACACAAATTGGATCAGGTCTGTCGCATTCTCGCCTGATGGCAGGCGCATAGTCTCGGGCTCGCTCGACAAGACAATTCGGATCTGGGATGCAGAGATGGGGAAGCCAGTGGGAGAGCCATTCCAAGGACACACAGATTCGATCATGTCTGTCGCATTCTCGCCTGACGGCAGGTGCGTAGTCTTGGGCTTGCGTGACGAGACAATTCGGATCTGGGATGCGGAGACGAGGATGCCAGTGGGAGAGCCATTCCGAGGACCCACAGATCCGATCATGTCTGTCGCGTTCTCTGACAGCAGGCGCGTACTCTTGGGCTCGGGCAACAATGCAGTTAGGATCGAGGACACAGAAACGGAGTAGATAGTGCCAAGGGTGGATGACTCAGATACTACCCTGATTTAAGATATTTACCCAGACATTCCATTGTCTCCCTTTATGCCCACTACGTAGTTAGTGGGTCTTATCCTACGGGCCAGCAAAGCTCTTGCGTGGGTAAGTTTAGCCATGTTTGGCCCCTTCTGAGTGACTTGGTTTGGGTTCGAGCCTTCCTCTTTCTCGTGTTCCTCCACCATGTCCTTTTGTTTCGAGCTCGACGGCTCTCTCGTTTCTGCTGAGCTTTCCTGTGGTCCTCGATCCTATGTGTCCGTTGCTTGCTCGAACCGTTTGGGCTTGTCTTTCTCTGGGGAGTGTGCCAATCTTGCAGTCTCAGTGAAGATTGGCGATAGCTGGCCTACATGTGTTATGTCTCTGCTTGTCTCAGGCGAACATCAAGAGTTTGACTTGGTGTTGGGTGGAGACTGGAAGGGCCTGATGAAGGAGCTTGGCTCAGCTATGGGTGTTATCTTTCCTGTGGCATTGGTATGTTTATCTTGGGACTTGAACGGTTGTTGACACATATTTCAGCAATGTTCCATCGTTCATGGTCCTATCCCCGCCTTCGAAGTCAGAGAACAGACATCTCGGAGGTCCGCATCTGTAAGCATTGTCTCATGGTACAATGCCCTTTCTGTTATTGATAAGTGTTTTAGCCTCCAGCTGGGCATGGGTCCTCTGGTGGCGGCGATGGTGGGGGTCATGAACACGTGGAGCCAGCTGTAAGTTGACACGCCTTGACTTAAGCGTTATAATCACAAGGACATCTAGGGGCCATTGCCAACCATTGATCTACCAAATTGCTCTCTGCACATTGACAATTTAAACACGGAACATGTTCAATTTAAATCTTTAATCTGTGACCCGAGCTCTTCATTTTTCCTGTTGGGTGGCAGCAGCTCTGCTGTTGTGGAGGCACTTAGACTTCATGGTGTTTTGTATGAGGGTCTCAGTGGCGATGCCCGTCGAGCTGCTCTTGTTCATCATCTTTTTTATGGTCATTGCCATCGTCGTGCAACGACCGATTCTCAGGCTGTCACGCAGATGTCAACAAGTATGGTGTCTCTTGCCACCTCTCTATCTGAAGAAGTGTTAGCATTGTTTCGACGTTCCGAGCTCCCTTCTGGGATATTCCAGGATTTATGTCTGTTGTTGGGCTTTTGAAAGGAACAGGCTCATTCAGAGTCAAACATGCTCACGTTTTATGAACATCGTCTAGATATGTTGCACAATCCCTGTATGTTTTACCAGCTGTCCAACTTTTTTTCCAATTATGATCGCATGGATCGTCCTACTTTGTTGAGTTTGTGTGGGGTTCACAGGTTACCTTCGGATGGAACGATGACCATTCCGACATGGATGATGACAATCGTTGATACACATTCAAGACTCTCAACCACAGCAGCAAACCGACTATGATTTATCAATATTGTACTACTTGTATATCTCCAAATTTGTACACAATAGTATTATTGACATTCGTCTCTACCATTATTGGGATTGGTCGCCGCACTTTACATAATCGCCGTAGCGGGCTTTGCGTCCGAAGGCGTGCTGCAGTGGTTATATTTCTGTAACTACTCTTGACCATTAGGGGCGCTCAGAGGAGTTTGTTGTCAGACATGTATACTTTTTTGTTCAATTTTTTTTTACATATTTCAGACAAGAACACTGTATATTTTTCTATTGTCAATGGTTTGTTACAGTCAATCCAGATTTTCACCTGCACCTCACGATGATACTTAGATGTAGAAAGAAGCCCCATAATACACTTTCATTAATGGCGTAAGTACAATAATAAAATAAAAGGGGCGGAAAGGATGACGAACAAAAATGAAATACACCAAGTCTACTTTGGTAACTGACCCACAGCGGGCAACTAGAAATCTGCATGGCATGAGCGTGGCATGCGTGCTAATTTTCATGCATGTCACGCAACTTGCACACTTGCCACGCAAGTATCACGCAGATGATGGTGCATGCGTGTACCATCCTGGCAATATTCTGTGCCAATTTAACGAAAAATAGACTGCTGTGTGTAGATTAAAGCACCTACTATATCACTATACTACAATAAGGACAGTCAGAAGATAACTTTCCAACGGAGGTCTGAATTCATCCATTTCCCATGCCACTCAAGGGCGATTAAACTCTGCCAAAAGTGAGTGCGACGCCTGAAAGCACACTGCACAATGAGTAAATCTGGCGTACATAGAATAAAGATGGAATATAATGAGTTTTTGTTATTTAATTAAAGTGGGCACAGTATCAATTCTGATGATGTCATGTTTCCCACCTTCTGGGAACGAAATCTGGTCCATTCGGGCTCTATATTCACGCAAATGACCTCCACACTCATAGCCCCTTTCTCTGAAAACAATTTAAATGTGTAGAACTAAAGAAAGGCTTCCTACCCATCGCAATTTTTTTGAGAAATAATGGAAGGAACATCCTCTAATAAGTCTAACAAAACAACAAAGTGAAGACAAGATTAGACAAGATCGGCTTTCGGGTCAGCAAGCTTCATAGCTTTATTTTCCTTTGTATACACATTATTTTAGTAGCCCGGCGTTGCACAGCTTTTTTGAACATGTCATAGAAAAATGTGAGACATAATGATGCAATCATGTAAAAACTTCCCCATTTTCTGGCAGAGAAAAACCATCTTGACATCATTAAATTCAATCCTTCTGAATTGCTTTGTCATTCCCATATGGCGTCAATTAAGTTTAAACATCTTAAAGATTGTTAATGATGGTAATAGCAACTTTCTGTACTGAATCAGTGATGCACGCAGCAGTCACACATGCTCAGGACCTTGACACGCATCACCATGCAGATGCGTGCATGTGCTCACGCATCAGCATGCATCATCACGTTACTGACCCCTGAAGGTCACACTCATCCACGCATCTGCACGCTCATCCACGCACCAGCACGCGTTTGCACACACTAGCACACTACTATCACACTAACATGCACTTGTGAACGCCCATGCATGCTACCCATTTAAATTAATAAATACTGGGTCTTTGGACAATGCATCAAGCCACAATTTAGAGTTAGGTTCCATTCAATGGAAAGTGATCGGGGTCAACAAATATCATTCTGATTCTTCCTTACTTTCTCCTTCATCAAAAGCCAATTTTCTCCAGACGATGGTGAGTCCCCTGACATTAAACCAGATTCAGGTTCTAAATATTTCATGTAGGACTTTCTCAGATATGTTTTTCGGTACTTTGGACCACCAGAACCAGATGAAGCACAATCTAAAAGGGCTGTTTTGACTGTGAAAAAATTTCAGGACCTAATACCTGTGTATAGCATGGATGGTACATCAAAGTCGTGCAATATTAAATATTTTCTAATTAGTTGGACTGTGTTAGGCCGTCTATTGAGGTACATTGAAGGAGGTATTGGAGAGGAAAATGTCGCATCACCCAACAAGGCAGCCTGTGCGTCACCACTCATTGAAATCATGGATTTGGACTGATTTTCAATTACATCCAGAAGCTATCGCTATCTCCCAGAATAAATGTGCCTCGCAGTCTGGGAATTCTGTATCAAAAGACGATGTCTTTTACAAGCGTACCTCAGATGGGAATTATGTACCAGTCACTTCCACACCTTTAAAATCCTTGTCTCTCCCCACTCTACACAAAAGAGATCCCTCTGATTCAGTTTATATTAACACTGGGGAATGGGACGGTTGGCCCAATGGAAACTTCAAGTACGACTTTAGACCTGCAGAGATAGAAGCAACAGGAAATCTCCGTGTGCATTGGGCCGTTCGAGTTAACGGAGGTGATCAAAAAGGAAATGAGCATGCTGAAAACTGGGAGGGAGGGAAGAAATCCTCAAGACGCTGCCTGGGGGTCATTGAATGTGACAATCCGCTTTGCAAAACACTTGTCCAACCCCACACAGCGGCTCAAGGAATTAACAAGCAGTTAACCGAACCATGTCAATGTGGGGCTGAGCTCTCTCACCACAGGTGCAACATAATTTCTTACCTCTGGCGATGGTTGGATGGTGTTCATTACAAAAATGGTGGCTTTCATACGCACCATCAACCGACTCATATACTACACCTCTTTCCCAATGAACAGCGATGATTTGAAGAAATAGTCAAGGTGCATCCAAAATCAGGACCGCTTCAACTAATCGTTGGAGTTCCAGGACTCGATGGGCCTGGCGAATCCATTGCGGATATCTCAGATGTGTTTTTGAATGCTCACCGTGTCAGCAAAGAGCGTTCAAAACTCAAGAAGGGTCATGTCCAGGGCACTGATGCTTTGTTAGCTTCATTTTCCAAGTTCGCTAATGAGCATCCAAACTTTGTTATCCATCCCACTCTCAGTGAAGAGGTGGTCATATTGGTCCAGACAAATTTCATGCGATCACAAATGGTCAAGAATCAGTGTTTGGGGGGTTCAGTCAATGGAATGGTGAATGACGCTACTCATGACTTTTGGAAGGAGCGAACTTCCCTCCTTGTTGTTTCTTCGACTTATTGCTCAACACTCTTATGCTGGGTTCCTGGAGTCTTATCCTACTCAAACGGAGCTAGTGCCATCCACTTCGAGAACCACTTCCTTGCAGTTATTATGAGCATCGCTCATGAGGCAGAAGCACGAGGGATTCCCATAATGGATGATCTCTTCGTGGGGGTGTGTCATCATTTTTTATTCCACCAACTTTTACCTCATTGAATTGTTAATTTGTCAGGTCATGGACTTCAGTGAGGCAGAGCGTAGTGGATTCATCCGAGGCTTTGTTGTCTTCTGGATGGCTCGACCTAATAATACACAAAATCGGCAGGAGCTTCAGGTGGCTGCAGAGCATCTCCTGAAAGGATGTAGAGAACATTACCATGCTGGTGTTACACATGTCAGCCGTATCTCTGGCGTCATTTCACCTGCAATGGCGGACACATTTATCATGCATGCATTGGGCCTCTTGAGTCTTAACGCTTCCAACCTCAGCAGAATTCACTTCACAGGCTTTTCTCCTGGTACACGATTTCCCTAAGCTTGCTTCCTGGATGGAATAGTGGACACAGCTGGCTCATGCATCTATGCTCTTTGAGTCTGAGAGAAAAATGGATATTGATCTTTGGGATTCTCTGCCAGCTGACAATAACGCAGAGGAAGCGATGCATTGGAAGCTTTACAGTGCCTGCGGCCGTAATCATGAATTTTTAGAAGGGATGTACTCCTTACATGCTGTTGCTGTATATTATGAACACCTTCATGACAGAGCAACTTGTGAGTTCCTTTTTTATTGTCTCTTGAATGTATTCTAATGCAGATAAATCAATAGAAGGGAAGCCAATCTGCTATGGCAAAGCAGAGCTGTGGAAGATTGTCAAGGAGAATATTGGTTGAACAAAACCCACATGCTCCAGAAAACCTGCAGATAAAAAGCGCAAAAAGAATGACGGATGCCCACCAGACACGAACAAGGAACTCTTGTGCACAAATGCGAAGCAAAAGCAATTGACATTGAAAAGCTTCACAAAAAAGGAACCAGAGCTGAAGAAACCAGAGCTGACGAAACCAGACCCAAAGATAGCAGAGTCTCCAGCTACCAGTCCTGCTGTTCAAGACTTGCCGAGCTATCCCTGGTTCAAGAATTCTTGCTGGCTCGCAACTTCTCTATACCACCATGCGCTGTTCAGTCGACGAATTCAAGGCTATTTATAATGCACTTCCAGAAAACTCTGCAATATGTCCAGTATTTTCTCATTTGTTGGAGCGGTATGATCTCGACGAGGCTGAAAAGACTACATCAACATTCCTCCATCGTCAATGGGACTCCCTATGTACCCAACTGAAGAAAAAGAAGGTTATCGAGACTGTTAGTGGATTTGAATCACTTTTTGTACGTATCTTTGCCATATTCACCTGAGACTGATTCATTTCTTTTTAGGCCTGGTTTGCAGAGCTGGTCAAACTGGAGGAAGTGCATTCATCCTATCATCCAGTTTCTGCTTTCGAAACACTCTTCATTGAGATTCACTACTGCACGGGATTGTCCAGTACTGGTGGTCCTCATGTTGAGATTTCTCACCACCCTCAATGACGACGAATCCAACAGCTGACACCACACGACTTCAAACAGTTTCAGGGAGATTTTGCCCTGTATTTTGCGGATTGGGTCTCCCTAGACAAAGAGCAAGTTCCAGCAACTAGTTGCTGGCGCGTCAAGGAGACTGTACCTCTTTGTTTGGGTGCCAGAGAAGATATTTGTTATCTGCTTACTTCTCTCCTGCTTCTTTTCACTATTGAAGTTGGTGACGAGCATCCATCCGAGACCATGCCTCAGGAATGGGATTTTCCTTTGACGCTGCTTCCTCATACCCAATCTGCGGCAAATTCTCATGGACTTGTTTATGATCTCATGGGACTAGCCTTGACCCAATCATTTTATTGCTCGGTATGCCTCAGACAACAAGAAGGTCGATGATTTGACAAATAATGGTCACCCAATCAGAGACAAACCTGCCAGCTTTGATACTCATGTGGCTGGAAAGCATGTTGACCTACCTCAAAATTTTGTGGTCTATCAGGCTTTTTATTTGCTTTGTGGAGGAGCTGTTGCACAGGATTTATTCTTTCAAGTTCGAACAGCTGCCCTCGCCAAGAAATTCAATTTGCGATTCTCAACAAATAATCTTGACAGGCTCTTTTCAACAACCTACCACTCAGACCAATTTGTCGAGCTTGAGAGCAACAAGCGCACCTGGCTTTTGAACCCTTTGAGATCACAGACCCTCGAGTATGTTTCTCGCGATGCACCAGCTGACATTACTGAGGAATCTCTGTCTCCAGAGCCCAAGCAAGGTGTAATCTCCCAACCTGGATCACCGACTACTCCACCTAGCCCTCTGTCTTCTCTCCCAGATTCAGAATTTGAGTTGAACTGCCAATGTGGGATCATCGGTAATGGTAATATTCTTTATCGCCACGAGCATGGGGTGGCTATCCAATGCGATCAATGTCATGATTGGTCTCACATTGCATGCCAGCTAGTGCTTGGAAGTCCGGTTTTTTGCCTTTTTGGTCAGTTTTGCTGCTAGCACGTTGCCATTAAAATTCCCCAATGAATCTGGGGCACCAGAAAAGGAAATTTTTCTGGTCTTAGACCGGAAAAAAGACTGGACTGACCCTGAAATTTTGTGTTTGCAAACCCCAATTGTAGCAGGGAATTTTTATGGCAATGTTCTAGCTCAAAAAAAGGGTTGAAAAACCGAAAAACCGGACTTCCAAGCACTAGTGCCAGCGTGATGGAAGAGCCAGTAACCTTGTGCCAGATGCCCCGTTTATCTGTGATTCATGTGATTTGTCACACCATTTTCCCTTGTCAAGGAAGTCTAAACGAAAGTAAGGATTTGAATTGTCCATATTAGTGTTTGAGTTGACCAAAAAATCTTACAGGGAGCTCAAGGCACATCTTGCATTAAATAAACCACTTGAGTTACGATTACGGTCAGACCTCGATATTCTCCACTATGAATGGTACTTAAATTTGTTCATTAGAGCGGGGAGAGGCACGCTAGCGAGATGTGAGCAGTTTTGGTATCCGGTGCGCCTCATTCAGGCAGTGCAACACAGTTGGAGGGTGCATTGGTGGAGGGAAAATCAATTTCTTGACAAGGATGAGCCTGCAGCAGGTGGATTTTCTGTTGTGAATACCAAGGACATTGTTGATTCGTTGTGGAACGACCAATTGGCAAGACGAGCAATACGGGTGAGCGACACCATTGGTTTAATCAGATAATGTACTCACCCACATTTTTAGCTCGGAAAATGGAAACATGCCTGGGACATCGAAACCTCAGAAGACATTCTCGCAGATCCATCTAAAATACCATACAGTGAGGAGATCAACAAAATCCTCTTGCCATTCAAAAAGCTTCTGAAGAAATTACTCACATGGAGGTCTTTATTGTCCTCCAGTGATTCCTGCCGGAATCCGGGCAATTCCTGGAATTCCGGAGGAATCAAATTTGGCAGAGGGCCCTGCCAAATTGATCAAACCATTCCGGCGGAATTTTGATGGAATTCAAATTCCGCCAGAATGGTTCCAGGAATCACCCGGAAGGAATGATCCCGGAATGAGACGGAACGGAATTCCTGACGCCCAAATCGAGTGTCGGCGTTTGCCGACGCTTGATTTGGGCGTCATCAACAAACAACTCCCACTCTCTCAACCACCACCATCATCCACGACGCCAACCCACCTCGCGACACCGCCACGTCACCAACGGCCACCACGACGCACACAACGACGACGTCCGTCGTCGTTTCACCACGACCCCAACACAACACCACGGCCACGACACGGAAACGACGCCCCAACGCCACGTCACCAGCCTCAGTAAACGAGCGCGCCAACACGTTGCCACGTCGCTATCAGCGACGTGGTAACCAGACGACGAACGACGCAAGTCGTCGTTCGTCGTCATAGGTGAGCACCCCCCATCCCAAGCTCGTCCCACCCAGCCTGCTAACACCAGGCACACGACGAGGGACAACCACGTCAACGCACGACCACGACCACCACGCCCACAGACGACGACACGCCTCACCACGTCAACGGAGGGCCACGCCAACAAACGACACGCCCACGACGACACCACCACCACGTCAACGGGCGACGACCGCGTCAACGGACGCCCACGTCAACGGACGACGACGATATCAACAGACGACGAGCGACCACCGCCACGTCAACGGACCACCGCCACGTCAACAGACCACGACGACGAAGCCAACGGACGACGACAACGCCAACGGACGACAACGCCAACAGACGACGACACCAACGGACGACGACGACAACGCCGCCAACAGACGACAACGCCAACGGACGACGTCGACGCTGCCAATGGACGGCCACGTCAACGACGACGAGCGTGTCCCGCTCCACCATGTACACACGGCGACAAGTGTTGTCCCTCCCCCTTTTCTTTCCCTCCCCCCTTCCTCCTTTCCTTTTCCCTTCCCCTGTCCCTCCCCATTTCCATGTACCCCTTTCCTTTCTCCTCCCTCTTTCTCTGTCTGTCCCTCCTCATTTCCCTGTCCCTACTCCCTTCCTTTTCCCTATCACCCTTCCCCCTTCCCTTCCCTGTCCCTACACCCTTCCCCCTACCTTTTCCCTCCCCCTTCCCTGCCCATCCCTTCCTTCCTCCACCCCCATTTATTTCTGCCCCCCTCCTCCCCCCCTTCCTTTAACTTAGAATACAGTAAAATAATCTTTGTGTACCACTTCAATATATTAGAATTTGAATCTATATAACTGTTCTAAGAAGAAACTTGTGAGGTTATTATAGGACAAGATATAATAATAAATTGGCTGACTACATTAGACTTACAATAAATATGATAGGCATGAAGTCACATAGACTTGGGTTTGGATGAACAACATGCAGAATCTAATGTCTCTGAATCTGATTGAAATAAATAAATCCATGTAGTAGTAAGTAACTAGTCGGATGCCTTATGCCCTTGTTTAGTAAAAGATTTAGTGCTACAATTCTATTTGTCTGACCTAAAGAAGGAGATTCAGGGTCCAAAATTAATTAACCAGAAGTCCTAGTGTTCAATTTCTGTTGATTCCAGTTGGATTCCTGTCGATTCCGGCCGGAATCCTGTGGAATTCCAGGAATCCTACTGGAATTCCAGGATTCCTACTGGAATTCCAGGATTCCTACTGGAATTCCAGGATTCCGGCCGGAATCTAGGGATTCCGGTAGGAATCAGTGGAGGAATGGAAAGTATTGCTCACATGCTACGGTCCAGACGACCTGAAGAGTGAAATCATCCCGGCAAGAGATTGGTTAGAAAATGGCAAAAAGCCTCTTCAAACAAGCTTGGTTCCGTATTGCGGAGCTCTTTCTATCGTCGAGAGAGCCCAGATCGCAAATTGGTTTCTGTGTCACAGCAGCAAAAATGCAGAGACCTGGCTCAGGCACTTACTGTTAGCTCATGCATTCACCCTTTACACCACAGAACATATCAAAAATGAACCAAAGTTCAAGGTACTCACACAGCCAGAAATCATCAACGAGGCTTGGAGGATCCAATTTCTTGTACTAATTCAAATCTCCACTGTTCTGTATGAAAACAATTTTGCTGACAAACTGAAGATCGAAATTACTGAGCAAAAAAAGATTGAAGAAAATGGTGAGGGCTAAGGGATAATCCCCTTCTTCTGAGGCACTGGCAGAAGGTTGTACAATTAAGTATCCTACAGGAGGGCCACACTAGTGTACATTATGAAACAGTAAGATATTTGACTGTTTTTATTATGCACACACCTCATAAACCATACACGCACCCTATATATTATGCACGCGCACCTGGGTGCATGCTAGGAGCATGCATGCACATCCTCTGTCAGTGCACGCAGCCCCTCCCTGCATGCTAGACCCTTGCACGCACCTACACGCACACCACGCTCGTGCCACGCAGATTTTCCTGTGCCCACCCGCAGCCACCTCAATCAAATCCTTCTTCCCTGGTGCATTCTGTACATATCTCGCATTAAACTTCAACACACTCTTAAACTCTAAAAATGCTTTGGGGCTAATTGGTAGGAAAGTATCCGCAAGGAGGAAGATGAGACCGTCAGTGCATGGAGGTGTCGTCACCGATTTGGTATATTTGAATAGGGAAACGGTGTTGAAGAAATTCATGATGTCAGGGAAGGAGAGTGGGCCTGTGGTGGTTGAGTCAGTAATATGCGCGGAGCTGGAAAGTCTGATGGACTCTATCAATACTCATTGTTTGACATTGGTCCCTACACCAGACTTCAATGTTACTCATTGCACTACGTTGAATTTATTTTCAGCTCCATTGCATACCAATGGAAATTATCGAGACTCAGTGAGTCACAATGGGTGCTGTTGTAGGACATTGACCAAAATCTGGTGTCCAATAGACTACAATGGACCCCGATGGACCTCAATGAATTACACTGACATTCAGTGAATGTCGTTGGAAACTTATCGAAATCCATTGGAGTCCATTGTGGTCCATCGGTAGCAAATCGGTACTGGGCATTATTGACAGATGGTTCGCAATTTGCCGGCTTTGGGAAGTTGTTGTTCAACATTGGCAAACAAACTCCGAAGAGCATATTCCACTCCGTTTGTCCATGGTTATCCAAATGCATCGGACAGCTATGTTAACGTATGGACTAAAAACCTCCTAAAACACGTCCACACCCTTGCTTGTGGTCCCCTTCCAACTCCAACAACCTCACAAGTGCTGCTGTAGCGTGCATGCTCTCAACATTGTCTAAGTACCTCTGACACAGCGGGCCAAACCCCCCTCTTCTGCATCCACGACAAAGCCCAATAGCAACATTTTATGGAGCTAGCACTTTACCACTTGCACCACATAGGCTTTATTGTACAGATATATTTTATGCCATACATACCAACTGTAAGGCTACTAGTGTTTGAAAGTCCGGTTAGGTTAGGTTATTGGGTGCCCAGGGGCTCTAACCGAGACCGAGACCGGTTAGGGTTCGTTCCCAGACCCAAAATAACCTAACTGGACCGAAGATAACCGATGAAAACCGGTTAGTTGCAGTTACTAACCGGTTAGGACCGAAAAAATAGAAAATCGATTAAAACGGCGTATATTTCTCATATTCCTTGCAGTAAACATTATTGCCATGCGTCGTAGCTTTAAAACAAGCCCAAGAACGCTAAATTCGGTGAAGAATTGACAATTTTATAATAATATTCTTGAAAGCCTACTATTTTAGCCAATAATTCAGAGATTTGACCATAACTCTGTCAGATTTTTAGCGTTTCTCATGCTTTTAGATGCGTTTTGAAGGGGTAAAATAGGGTCGGTTGTAACCGGTCATAACCGGTTTTTTAACGGTTAGTTAACCGCAAAATAACCGGTTATTTCATTTCCAGAATTGACTAACCACTAACCGCGGTCCGGTTTTTTTGCGGTTAGGTCCGGTCTGGTCTCGGTTATTTTCCAGTTAATTAACCTAACTTCCAAGCACTAAAGGCTACCTTCCTAGAAAGGATGCCGGCAAATTCCGTGAGTGGGAATTTGCCCAAACCCTCAACCCACAACCTTCCACGACACCACCACCACCCCATCTTTGCTCCATCACCACCGTCGCCTCATCACCACTGTCGCCTCGTCACCACCATCGTCTCATCACCACCGCCGCCTCGTTGATAGCCACGCCGCCTCCAATGAGGATTCCGGGTGCCACGTCGCTGACAGCGGCGTGGCAACCAGACGACGAACGACGAACCTTGTCGTTCGTCGTCGTGCATTCGTGAGCACCCCCACCCCATCCTAGCTCGTCTGACCCACCAACAGACGGCGGCAGCGAGGACCCACCACCTCACCCCATGGAGTGCCAACAACCACGAGCACCCACAGACACGAGAAACGAGAACGCCGCGGGACAGCAATGACCCCCGCCTACCCGCCAATGCCCACGAAAACGACCGCCCACGCCTATGAACAACGACCGCCCACCCCCACGAACGACGCCAATGTCCACGAACGAAAAGCGCCCACGAACACGCCTACGCCCACCCGCCAACACCCACGAAAGACGACCGCCCACACCCATGAACAACGACCGCCCACGAAAGACGACCGCCCACGCCATGAAACCCGCGTACGACAACAAAGACCGCCCACGTACGAGAACGACCGCGCTGATGCACAAGAACGACCGCCCATGAGAACGACTGCCCATGGATGAGAATGAACCCCACCTGTCTCCCCTCTCCATCCCTCCCCTCCCTCTTCCTCCATCCCTCCCCTCCCTCTTCCTCCATCCCTCCCCCCTCTTCCTCCATCCCTCCCCCCTCTTCCTCCATCCCTCCCCCCCTCTTCCTCCATCCCTCCCTCCCTCCCCTCCCCCTCCATCATTCCCACCTCCCTTCCCTCCCTTCCCCTCCCCCTGTCTCCCCCTCCCTTCTCCCCCTGTCTCCCCCTCCCTTCTCCTCCCTCCCCCTCCCTTCCCCTGCCTTCCCCCTCCCACATTAGATTATTAGATACTTTTGTATATATTTGTGTATATAGTTATCAATATAATATCTATGTTCAAATGGAAGTTTGGTATGGAATTCTGAGGTGTTAAAAGGTCTAACTGACTTAACCAAAAATTGATAGAATGCATGATACTCCAGTAGGAGTCCAGTAGGAATCCAACTGAAGCATTGGATTTTTTTTGTCTAAGTTCAGTTGGAGTCCAGCAGGAGTCCAGTAGGAGTCCAATAGGAGTCCAATAGGTGGAAAATGCCTTTTTTGGAAGAATTGTTGAAATCCAGTGGGAATCCTACTGGAGTCCTGGAATCCAGTAGGAATCTTACTGGAGTCCTGGAGTCCGGTAGGAATAGGTGGGGGAGTGATAAGTACTGGCTGGCACGGGCATGGTCGTCGACCAGGCAATGGCATCTGCCATCTTGAAGGACTCAAGGTGTCGGTGGTGAAGTATATCCTGAGGAGTGTTTTAGATACGCCTGCGGAGGGGAGGTTCATGGGGAGGGTTTCGTATTGGCTGCGTGATAGGTGAGTTTGTTGTACCTGTTGAAGAATAGCGTTAGTAATAAGTGGGGGGCAGACCGCAGGATTCGTTACAGAACTTCTTGTTTATTGGGTTCAGAGATCTCGCAATATGAACTCAAGTTTTCAGCTAAGGACTTTTTTTTTCTTCCTGGTTTTTTGAATAACGTGCTGACAATTCAGACAGTGACATGCTAACGAATTCACCAACTAACAACTCGCCACCTAATGCGCTCCGTTCCCCATCATGCCCAGGAACGACCCTCCGCAAAAACGTGCGCGCATGGGAAGGCCATCGAGATGTGCGATGATGTGGGGAATCAAGACTTTCACGGTACCAGTGGAGTCAATTTTGAGTGCATGAGCAACCGCCTCCAAGTCCGATTTCTTGCGACAGTTGTTGATGGGTCCCGAACATTGAACTTTCCAGCGGCCAGCATATAACTCGGTTGAGTTGCCTGGTTCTGTGATGGCGTGGAGAGGAGCAGAGAGGGGGTCTAGGAGGTTTGTGTTTGTTCCGGTGATGGATAGCTCGAAGAGTGCTGCCAGGACAAGAATGGAACCATCTGATGGACTAAAAATTAGTTGGAGAACGAATGGTTTGAGGTTCAACAACTTACCAGACACGATGTTGACAAAATGCACTTCCATGGGATAAAACTGCGCGTTGATAAGGTGTTCTGCGGGTGTATGGAAGTGATATTGCTTCAGGCTGTACGTCTTGCCTTCAAATATCGTAGTCCCATTAATCACAACCTCAACTGTCGAACCCAGGTTCTCAAATTCCGCTGACTTCATGCTGGCGATACTTAATTGCAGGTGGGTCTTCGAGAGTGGGACGACGTCGTGCTTGATATTTATCGGGGACTGAACGTTGGCCGTTGAACATTTTATGTTTGCGGGGTTGAGGCCTGCCCAGCCAAGAGGACCAGTGACTCCGATGTAGCTGAAGTTGCTGATGAGCACAGAGCCAGGTCCTGCCTGGAGATTACAGCGGTGGTTGTGCAGGCAACCACCTTGGACAAAGGAGGTAGAGAGTCGACGCGACGTGACGGCGCCAAGGGACGTTGGATTTTGGAAAAGCATCGTATCATGTGGTGGTAAAAGAAAGTTAAGAGATGGCCAAGCGATGAGAAAAAGGAGTGGGTGACTCGGACACAACGAATTGGTTGGGGAGGGGGTTTATATAGAGTCTATGATAAAAGAACCACCCTTTGGCTACTGAGTGGCAATGGCAATGTAAGCGAAATTCACTCAATGAAAAATGCCAAGCCCTAGAGCTGTGCATGGAAGGATGGCAACAACAAGTCAAAAACGAAAAGGGTAATGGTATTGGCAAATGAGGCTTTGAGAAGGTTGAAGCACATTCATCCCAATTAAGACGAGGAAAAGTTGTGCCCAAGCAGGATGAGAATAGTAGGCGTTCAGTATGCATAGCAGACAGGTCCTACCAGAAGAACCGGGATCAAGTGCGTTTGAGCTGAAAAGACTCAGGTCCAACATGCACAAAGCCATGAAAACCAGCGGTGTGATTGTGGCAGGTGCAAGGTGGCAACAGGGACATTGTGGAATGAGACTTGAGTATAAGGTGACCGCCAGTGGGCACAACCTTGTAACGCCTTTGAAATGTAAGATCGGACTTCGATTTGTAGCAGGTTTGAAGCGAAAGGGCTTCCACAACGTCGCGCCAAGAATGCTGGAGTCCGACATTTAATCTCGAGGGTGGTGATGGTGGCGTAGTCAATGCACATTGTTTACTTTGTCATATGAAGACAAACTCATGAGAACAATAAACAACAAAGTCGGAACAATTCTTAACTGAGGTTCCCTGGGATCGTCTTCAACAAGCCAATGAAGAAATATGTGGTTGGTTCAAGTCAGGTGTGTTTCTATTTGCTAGACTTTTCATTATTGTGATCTCATGTTTTTAGATGGCGACGGAGACGACAAAGTTGTCGACAACTTGTACTGTCAAGATATTGAAGGCGCAATTCCCCTTGGTTGGCCGCTGGTAGTAACGTCCACACCTCTTGAACCTATTGACACGAATTTGTCCACGTTGACGACGCAAACTGCGACCGATTCCGCTTCACCGGTTGTAGAAATCATTTCGTCTAAGGAAACTTCAACTTCTGGCCAAAACCCTCCTATTCCTTTTGCGGAAATGGAGGCTACAGATGCTAGTTCAGTCAAGGCTCGCTTGGCGGATGTACAACTCCAACACAAAACACATCCTATAGATCATGTGGTTACCGCTGAAAGCCGGGACAATCAGACTCCTTCGGCGACAGCATTGATCACTGGTTCATCCATTCCAGTCACTCCTTCTCAGTCTCAGCCAAACTCCAATGATTACTCCCTTGCTGCAACGGAACACAATACAGCCACACCGCTCTTCGCAGATCGTCCACTAAGCAGTACCGAACAAATTGATTGTTTACCGGGAACTTGCCCTATAGATCACATGGATATCGATGAAAGCCCTCCTTCGACAACGGCATTGGTCCCGGGTTCATCCATTCCACTTACTTCTTCTCAGTCTCAGCCAAACCCCGTCGAATTGCAACAACCCGCTTTAATTGCACCGGCACACGTCCCACCACAAACCACACAGGACATTACCGTCGTCGCTAATCCTCTACCATCGACAACCGAACGAGCCGATTGTTCTTTAGTAGACCGGGGTTCCAACGAGGTCTATACTTCCAATACGGGCGCTATGGTCGTGGATGAGAATGGCCAAGCCAAAAACAGAGGGAATGCATCTACATTACTCTCTTCTAATATGGTTTCCTCCATTGCAGTCCCTTGCACCGCCGAAACAGCACTTATTGAGCTGCGGTCCCCTTGTGTGAATGTCGATCCCGGAAAAATCAGTACCAGCGTTCGACCCAGTCCTTCGCAAAACTCTCAAGCAGATAGCGATTTAACCGATCTGGAGGACTCAGACCATCATTCCCCTGTTTCGAACTCGAACAATGCTACTTCAGTCACAATGAAGAGAAAATGCAACCTTCAAGAAAATTCTGTCTCAACTGACGACTCCTCCGAATCAGACGCCGACTCAGATCATGGTCCTTCCCGATTGAATCCCAAACACTCAAAGGCAGTCTCGCCGACAAAACGTAAAAGGCATCCTCGTACAAAACGTCAGAGGAAAACATCATCAAATAAACTGATTTCACCAACCGACTCTACCTTCTTCTGCGAGTCATCGTGTTCCTCTTCTTCGACATTTCCTTCTCAACAATCCTTCCAAAGAAAGTACGTCAGCGAAGAAGATTCATACATCTATTCTGGCACGATCCTAGGTTGTCGAATTGATTTGGATATTGTCATGGTATGTGTCAGTCGCTGGATGAATGCTCTTATTGACTTATTCGTAGGCATCGGCCCCTGAAAAAACATTGAAACTTGACAGCTTTAAGCCTGTATGTTATCAAATTTACAATCATTATCCCCTTCTCATGTAGCTTCATTTAGAAATGCGTCGGTACTGAGGAGTACGCTCTCTACAGATCCACATTGCACAATCTTCACAAATACAAGCCTGAATTTCACGTAAGTATATCAGATGTAGCTGCTATCAACACGAATAACATGAGAACTTAGACGATGCTACGGCCCTTAAAATCTTTGCAACTCAAAATATCGTTACAACAGGACGTTCGGTTGGAAAAGCAGCTTGGAACGAAGATACTTTAAGTAGACTCGCTCATTTGGATGCCGTCATTGATATGCAAGGTTAGAGTTCTACGATTTATCTGCGTTAAAATATCAATAACCGTTACATATATGCAGATCAAAGTATTCTGATAAAGGACGGAGACTACAGTAAACGTCTCGTTCAGGGAACGTTGAATCAGATGATACTCAAAGGCTCTTTGGGACCAAACGACGATGGTCGTATTTTGAATGCATTAGACTTTCCGTTGCCTGCAAGCAATATTTCACCAGATGCCCTATCAACAGATCTCCATGCTTGGATTGCCACCGAATGACTTCCTTTCTGCAATGAGGAGACTCCATCTTTGCCATCGCGACATCTCCGTTGGGGACTGGTTGCTACTTACAGCGCTTTGCACTATGGTCACATCGACTCGGATGGGTTCTGCACCACCGTAGACGTACTGGTTGGTGGTAAATACTGGATCGTCGCTCGTCCTCGAAACCGTGAAGACAATGGTAAAATTGATTTATACTGTGATGAGAAATGGTGCATGGAAAGACCTGACCCAAATATATGGTGCTTCGAAGGCATATTATTGGAACCAGGGATGCGATTGTAAGTCTTTATTTTATCTACGTTGATCCTCAATATTTACGATGTTGTCAGACGTATGTGTCCCCAAACGCCGCATTGGGTTGTAACTGTCAAGCCGTCGATTTGCAGGGGAGGACATTTCTATTGTTTCTCTACTCTAGGGGAGACTGTTATTGGTTTATACCGCACTTGGGCTTTAGGGGGCGTAATAACTAACACAAACCATGATCCCTCCCGGTTACTGTTAATCCGTATAATGTACCTCTGGCACCGACACTTTGTTCTCGAAGAAAAGGTCACGGGTAAGCACTGTTCAATACGTTATTCTTTGCAGATCCAGTTTAACGTTCAACCTTTGTAGGCTATCTATCCAATCATATACCAAACCTCGAATGCTTTGATGACATTTTGGTGGTTTTCACCTTAGCCATTGCAATGGAGCTGCTCAATGTCGTTGATTATCAGACCTACCGTGTCGAAACAAACCTCAGTGATCACAATTCTGAATTGCAGGCTGAACCCGGGCTTCCGTCTCTTCTACTCTTGCAGTATGTCGATGCACGTGCAAAAAGCCCTCAATTGCTCCACTTCTTCTTCTCTAACTTCGAATTCATTGATGACTCTGACGTTGCTATCGATGGACCCAAAGAAATTTACTATCCATTTTTCGCGCAACACGCTGCTGCTTTGTTCAGTATGAAAAAAAAAGGATATAACCAAGGGATCCGAGGAGCTAGGGACTGTACTATGCTCAAATTCGACCACGAACTACAATTGGCTATCGCTGGATCAACCTACTTCAAAGAAGCTATGGTTCAATTGAAGCAGGAACCTGATACCTTCGAGTGGAGTGATGGGAAATATACAATTCGTCGTCTTTCGACTCCAATTCCGTGCTCTGCCGACTGGTGGCTACCACTTTTATCTATAACCTAGACTTAAGCCTAGAGAGTCATTTCTATAACTTAGACTTAAGCCTAGAGGCCATATCTATAATGCTTAGGATTTTTTGAAAGGCATTTCAAATGTAGGCCTGGGTATTTCATAGTGAATTTTCCATAGATACCCAGCGCATTTTCTGCAAAATTTCAAATGCAGCCCTGGATATTTCATTGCAATTTTTCAATAGATACCCTTGGTATTTCATTGCGATTTTTCAATAGATATCCTGGGCATTTCATTGTGATTTTTCAAATGTATCCCTGGGTATTTCATTGCAAAATTTCAATGGATACCTGGCGCATTTCATTGCGATTTTTCAAATGTATCCCTTGGTATTTCATTGCGATTTTTCAATAGATACCCTGGGCATTTCATTGCGATTAAATGGAGCCCTGGGCATTTCATTGCGATTTTTCAAATGGAGCCCTGCGTATTTCATTGCGATTTTTCAATAGATACCCTGGGTATTTCATTGCAAAATTTCAAATGTAGCCCTGGGCATTTCATTGTGATTTTTCAAATGTATTCCTTGGTATTTCATTGCGATTTTTCAATAGATACTCTTGGCATTTCATTGCGATTTTTCAATAGATACCCTGGGTATTTCATTGCAAAATTTCAAATGTAGCCCTGGGCATTTCATTGCGATTTTTCAAATGTATTCCTGGGTATTTCATTGCAATTTTTCAAATGTATCCCACATGTCAGGGTCCATGCAATGGGCTTCCCTGGAGGGTGGTCACATGACCAATTACCAAAAATGGTCAAAAACGAAAGTTGTAGCCCTACACTGTAGCTTCCCGAATCTGTTTGAATTATGTTCTGAAGTGCTCCTGTTGTGGAGATATAAGGTAAAGGAATTTCAAAAGTGTTGCGTTTTTTTTTTTTTTTTTTTTTTTTCTCTATGAAAACAAAACCAAATAACATGATTTCAGTATATTCAGAAAGCTAAAAGAAAGGGCTACAATTATTGTATCATGGGAAAAATGACCAAAAAAGGAAGGTGCATCCTGTACTACTTATAAGAATCAGATATAGACTACCAAGTTTACTGATAGACTACAAAAAAGTCGGACTTAGACTACACAGTTTACTGATACACTATAAAAGACTACAAAAGTCGAAATTAGACTACAAAGTTTACTAATACACTACAAAAGACTACAAAAGTCAAACTTAGACTACAAAAGCGTGGACTTAGACTACATAGTTAGGGTTAGAGTCAAAAGGTTATCTTGACTACAAAGTTTGTAGTGTGCCCTTTTTCATTAAAAAAGTTTGTAGTGTCCGCTTTTTGAGACTACAAAAGTTGTAGTGTTGCG